TAACACTCAGTGACAGTGTTCTTAAAAAACGTCACCACAGCAGGTTCAAAGGACTTATTGGACACAACAAGCCGATCACTAACAGAGCTCTTCAGCTCGCTAAAACACTGAATGATGATCCTCATTTTGCACAACACTCCAGAGCTTCCTACTTATTTTTTGCTCCACGATAATGTCTTCAGGGTTAGGGTCAATTTCAAGTACACCTTTTAACCAAATTTATGAAAGGTTTTTGGACAAATCTTGTTTTACTTATTTAAGCACTGCAGGCAAGTGGTATATATGTGGTCTTGTGCAGAGGTCAGTGTTATGTAGGAATATGGTTATCAGAGTGAGTTAAGTCAGTCTACATTTTGCCAACAGGTAAGTGCAAGTATGGAGTAAAATGACGGTATTTTAGTTTTGTAACATTAGAAGTGTGGACTTTTACAAACAATGGCTTCACTCATTTTCACAAAAAGAAATTTAAAAATGGATAAATAAAATTAGATCAAATGTTTGTAGTAGTTAAGACCTCACAAAATCAAATTTGAGACTTTTAAGGCCTTACTGTTGCAACATTGAATCTAAGACATTTTAAGACGACCTGTAGACACCCTGTTCTCATGAGTCAGGGGTCAGGCCAATAATGGATCCTGCCTTGCTGAACGGTTTGTTGATCTTGTTCCTGTATCCTGAGCTGCACCCCCAACAAACAATGGCATAAAATAGGACACTTGTTCAACAGCTCATGGACATTCGTAACAGTTGTGCTTCTGAGTGCACAGACATCCTGCGTTAGAAGGGATACCTCAGTGTTACTGCATCTTACATCAAGCAAGGGAGTTCAAGTATCTCGGGGTCTTGTTCACGAGCGAGGGGAGAATGGAGCATGAGAGGGATCTGCAGTTTGGTGCAGGGTCTGCAGTGATGCAGGCGCTGTGCTGGACCGTCATGATGAAGAGGGAGCTGAGGAAGCTTTCGATTTACTGGTCCATCTACGTCCCAACCCTCACCTATGGTCATGAGCTCTGGGTAGTGACCGAAAGAATGGGATCATGGATACAAGCAGCCGAAATGAGTTTCCTCTGTAGGGTGTCTGGGCTCAGCCTTAGAGATAGGGGGAGGAGTCAGACATCCAGAGGGAGCTCAGAGTAGAGCCGTTGCTCCTTCACGTCAAAAGGGGTCAGTTGAGGTGGTTCAATATCTGATCAGGATCCTCCTGTTAGAGGTGTTCCAGCCTCGTCCCACTGGTAGGAGGCCCCGGGGCAGACCCAGAACACACTGGAGGGAGTATATATACATCTCGCCCGGCCTGTGAACACCTTGAGGTCCTCCAGGAGGAGCTGGAAAGCGTTGCTGGGAATAGGAACGTCTAGAATGCTTTGCTCGCAACCCGTCCTCGGATACGCGGCTGACAATGGATGGATGGATGTTTTCATGTTTTCTGATTAACTCCATAACAAACCCTGGTTTTAGATACATGCTTTATAATTCAGAATATTTTGAACAGCATGGGAAGGCCTCGTGATGCAGTTGAAAGTGCTAGAAAAAGCTCCTAAGTGATGCTTATGTTACCTTTTTTTGTGTAACTAAGAGTTCTTGGAGTAGCACTACATTGCATTTAGTGGTAACTACACAGTCGCTCAAGTGGCTCAATATGAATGTTGTTTTTGAGTACTAGTATCATGTTCTGAGTCTTTTTGCACTGTATACTTGCAGTAAATCACATTTAATGTACATAGTACAAAACGTGTCTTTGACATACTATAATTTTGGAATATATAAAACTGAAAGGGCCCACTGACGAGCTGATAATAGCCGGTATGACTTTACAGCATTTCTCAGCATGAACTGTTTAAATGTTGTTTGCATGACCTCATTCAGCTCACTGACTCAGAGGTAATGCGAAACTGTATCAACGACTGACTCTTTCACAACACGAACCTCTCCAACAAACAATCAGACACATCTCTCTCATAAAGATCTGCCCAGGACGCACACACAGCACCTCAGAGGAACATTTTAACACCACTGGTAGTGTCAGGGAATGATGGGGGTTCACCACTAAAGACAGAGCGGGGAGAGGAAGCTTATTTTTGGCAAGGAATAGGTAAGAGGCCCCAGAGGAAGTGGCAGCAGCATGTGGGCACTGATAGGCGTCTTTGTGGCACTTTGTAGGGTGAGCAGCGGGGTGAAGCAGAGAGGAGGAAGACGAAGAAGAAGAGGAGGAGGAGGAGGAGGAGGAGGAGCCAAGGAGGCAGAATGGGAGGGAAGAGGAGGGGTCCGATATGTCCCGGGGCACACGTGTTCCCTTTCAAACCCTGTCACACTCATTTTCTCTCAAACACGCGGATGTGTGTACGCACGAGCGCACTCACACACACACGCGTGCTTGTCCGTGCGCAAACAGACACACAAAGGGAATGAAAGGGAAAGGTGCAGAGTGCAGACGGAGGGGGGAGGAAAGGGTGTCGCAAAGGGGAAACCCTGATTCAGATGCAGTTTCAGATGCTATGTGGAGAACAACATCCATTCACATGTCAGTAATCTCACACACACAGAAACATAAAGAGGGAAACATGTGCCAGTTCCATGTGCACAACAGGGAGGAAAAAAAGGATTGATCACTGCATGGAGCTTTCTATAAAAAATGTTCCTGGCCATTTAACTCCCCATGCCTGGAAACCATTCCCGGACATTCCCACTCCCCGGGCTCGCATAGACAAAGGCCAGGGTTCGCCCCTGTGCTGAGGGTGTAGTATAAATGTATGCAGTAAATGCAGCCAGACAGACAACCCCCCCACCCTCCCACCTCCCCCCCAAACCTCCATCACTCACTCACGCTCCCTCTCACGCAAATTGGGGGAGGGGCGGGTAGCTACACAACCGCCCACGCATCCAACAAACACACATAATAAAAACACACACGTTGACCCCCTCCTTTAAAATTTCCCTAAATCTCAGCCTGCGTCCTTTCAATCCCTCATGCAAACACAACCCAAACCACCTTCCACCTGAGCTCTCCTCTTCCTCATCACAACCCTAATGATAGAGAAAGCACATATAACACGTACATCTCTGCATGTAAATTACATCGCTCATTTGAATACTTCTCATGTCAGCTCTTCATTAAGTCCAAGGCCACCCAGGTTTCAATCACAAAGAGGTCTTTGTAGGGAAAAAAACACAAGAGTTTAAATAAATCAAGTAAATATGCACAGCTAAACATGTCTGAGTGAGTCGAGGGAGAGCCAGACGTATTTACTGCGAGCTGCTGATGGTTGCAATTCATCTTTCAGAGCAGGCAAGATTATATCACGTTCTCTGTGACTGCGTATGATTTACCAGCTACATCCTGAGGACAGATGACAAGCCGGCCCTATTGTTTCATACAGTGGACTCAAAACCTGCCTTAAAAACTGCAGCACAACATTATTCTCCATAAAGTCACACACTCCAACAAGACAGTTTTCTCTTAATATGCACACATTGTTTTCCCTTTTTGCAGATATCACATGCAGGGGAGGGGGGGCAATCCTGTCTGAGAGAATCCTGTCATATATGAAGGGCAGATGGGGTTCCCTTCCTCCATCAGTCTGTCTGTCTTTACATATACCTCTCCCTCTCTCAACAGACGGACCCAGGAGAATACTGGGACGCTCCTAATCTCCTGTTCTGCATGCACAACTGCACACACACACACACACACACACACACACACACACACACACAAAACACCCATATACCTACATTCTCCACAGCCTAATCTGTTTCAGTAGAATACAGCAGCTTAAAGCCTTTTTTTGTACAGTAGGATCTTCTTTGGCTTGTCAACAAAGAGCTCTGCAAAACAAGAGCATCCTGAGTCCTCTCTCTTGCCCTCCTTGTTTTCTCCTCTGAATATAAATACAGAGAAATGTTATTTGGCACATTAATGGTTCAGTTTTGTTTCCAGTTTAAGAGGATGCACAGCAGATGACTGATGACAGTTCAACAAGGTTTCTTCACACTTCCATGTTATTACATTTTTTTTAAATGAAAGCATAGATGTGGATTATGCTACACTTATCCACGGCATCAGAGACATTCATGTATGGCCCCTTTGCACAACAGATTTTAGGATAAGGGTCTTAACTCTGTGCACATTCCACATGCCCAGTGGTAAACATCTGCTGTCAGCCAGAAGGAAGACAGACATGCATTCAGTAAAATGGCCTGAGCTGGAAGTTACGGGTGCTTTTATTGCAGGACACACATAAGAAGGGTCTTTTTTAATTTTTTTTTTTTTATATATTTGGCAGTTTTTGCACATTTTCTTAAAGGTGGCAAATCAGAAAACATCCATGCGCCCATTGCAAAGATCTGCCACTGCCACCTTCAAGTCATCCGTTGTAAAAATCTAACTTCGGGGACACTGCACGCCCCCTAAATCTGCTTTACATCGCAGCTTCCTTCCACATGCACGAAAGGAGGTCAATACTGTATATTAATAACATGTTACAAACCGCCATCCATTGTTTACATGCGTTTGACACTCGCAGCAAAAAGCCCGAGCCGCGCAGCGAGCGAGAGTCGCCCTCTCAATGTGCGCTTTGTGACATTAATTGCATGAAATTATCTATGCAAATCCACCCGCCTGCCACTGACAAAGAAGACCTGCATGCAAACTTCTGTCAACCGTGTTTGTAAAGCAGAATGTGCACGGTGGCAACTTTCTGTCTAAGTGAAACCAAGTGCATGAGGTGGAGAGAGAAACAAAGTGCGGACATTTACGCGCGGGTTGGAGACGCTTTCTCTGCACATTGTGCACGAGTGCATGCTTTAATATTAGTGTTACACAACACAGCAAGTACAACGATACCTGCAGATAACACACGGAGACTGTCCAAGAAGTGCATGGCAGCTGTGTTCATTTTTGTGCTTCTTATTTAAAACCCTTAACCCTGTGCAGATCAGTCACTACCTTACATGCAGTCAAATGTGCAATATTTTAATTTTAAAAAATGAATTTTACTCACGATTTTAGAGGATTATGAATGACTGTCGCCATTTTCCTGCAGGACTGTAACGTAATATTCCAAATCTCGGTGTAGTTTGGGACCCTTATGAAAAAAACACAACAGCCAATGCGGTCCTGGGCACTGCGCTCCCTACCAATACAACACCAGCATCAAGACATTAGGCGTGGCTTCAGAGAAATCTGTCAACATCAATGTCCCAGACCTCAGAGTAGTAACAATATCACAGAATAAAATCCAGCTGTCTTTATTTTAGTGAAAGAGTTTGAAATAAGAGTGTTAAATATCATGGACTCTGTTGCAGTGGCCTTTACAGGTTTTATTCTGGGCTTTTTATACAATAACAGCCTGTAATACAACCATTTATTTTAATTCATTGAAATCAAAAGGGGGTAAAATAAGAGGGTGCACATTTTGTATTAGTATTTGCAATGTCCATCGTCTGTCAATCAAATATAACAAAACACATTCCTTCATTATAATTCTGGTTCGTGGCTCACACAGAAGACAACCAATGAATGCCTGCGACGTCAGCCGCTATTGTTAGCGAACAGCCAATGAGCGGCATCGGGAGGCGGGACAACATGGCAGGAACTCACTGCACAACAGTTAGCTTGAAAGGTGTTTAAACTGTAACGTTACGTTCATTTATAAAGTAAATAAAGATTGTTAACCTTTAACGGAAGGCGTTTTTACTGAGCTATTAAAACTGTATTCACGTTTACTCATGTCTAATCTCCGACATTAATATAAAGGTGTCGAAAAAGATGTGTAGCTAACGTTAGCTAACGAATGCTAATGGATACCCCTTGCTAATTTAGCTAACACGTAAACATGCCGCTTCAATTAGCCTTAAACACTCGTACACACAGAAGTGGATGAAAGACAGTGGTGTGAGGATCCTTACGTTGCGGCCCAGACAGCAGGGATGAAGAAGTGGAACTGGAGAGAAGGGCAGCGGCCGTACAGGCGACGAGGTGGTGGTGGTGGTCAACGCCATGGTTGGTACAGGGGCAACCGGCAAAGGTCAACACAGGAGGAGCAGTGGTATGTTTAAGGACACTCTGGCGCATAGCTAATTTTAAAGAAAGTGATGTGTGTCTGTGTCGTCAGTAAGAGTGGTGCTGTATTGTCAGGTTTGGACATGATGATGCTGGGCCATCATACAGAGCACCTCAGAGGAGATATGAGAACAAGTCCACCTCCTCCTCATCTTCCTCATCTTCTTCCTCCTCCTCTGAGACCAGCACTACTGCACCAGGTCAGTAACACTCACCAACTCTTTCCATAACTGAACAAGCATTTGTTGTGCAGCACAGTGGTGTTCAAACATTATTGTTCCAAGGCAAACCCTCATGAAGGTGACATTTCCAAGGCACACTATATGATGTGTACCAGGGGTGTCAAACATACGGCCTATGGGCCAGAACCAGCCTGCCAAGTGGTCCAATCCGGCCCACTAGATGACTTCGAGGTGTCAGGTTTGAGGAGCAAGTTAAACAATGTGTTGTCTTCTTCATGTAAAATTCTGCTTCAGAGGCTTCTCCTCCCTGACCAGGATACAGTTCTCTGATATAACAATTAATACTTACTGTGACCATGTTTAAAGATATATATTGTGCAGAATATTGTCAATCAGCTGCTTCACTTCAAAAGAATCTGTATCAGGAGATGTCTGGATAAATGCACATGTAATGACAGTGAGAAGTAGAATGACTGATAGATTGTTGAAAATTGCACTTATTTTTCTTAAGACATCTCAGGCTGCTCATCTGTTTTGTGAAAGGATGGATGTCCTCAGACTGTACTTGTAATTCCTCACACAGAAAAAGGCAAATATTGGAGCTGATGGCTCTTATAGGTTATGGTGTGATGGTTTTATCGGTCCGGCCCATCTGAGATCAAATTGGGCAGCATGTGGCCCATGAACTAAAATGAGTTTGACACCCCTGATGTATACTATGCATCCTCAGAAATGATAATAATAATAGTAATAATGACAGACTTTCTTTACATAGCAATGTTCATACAAGAAATGCAGCACAACAAGAGGCCCGTTTCCACCGCAGGAACTTAGGGGTAGTTTTACGGGGCCGGGGCCGTTGGTGCGTGTCTCCACCGCAGGAACCACCCCCGAAGGACAGAGTTATGGAACTTTAGACCCGTTTCCACTGAAGAAGTTCCTGGTACTATTTGGGGGGCAGGAACTTTACAGGAACGTCCTTTCGCTCGGCCCTCTCAACCACCGTGTCTCCACTGAGAGGGCGGAGTAGGAGGAAGGTTCCTGTAAAGTTACCGGGCTCTGGATGAGACATAATCATTGCACGACCATTTTGCCCGGGGCGACACGGCAAAGAAACAAACAAAGAAGAACAACAACAAAGAAGAAGAAGAAGACGTAAGAAGAAAAAAGCAGACATAAGAAAGATGATTATCAACATGGAAGGAGCTGAGGTGGTTGCTGGGTTTCTGGCGTATCTCTTCGTTTACATGGCAGTGGAAGCTATGAACGAGCTAACCCTCGTCTGCTGAGTTTTAAAAATGCCGGCTATTTTGTCGCTTTCTGTTGATGTCACATCCCGCCTTGAGTATATCCAATCAGCACCAAGTAATCCCCAAGCTCCAGCCAGGAGTTTTTCAGGGCCGTTCTGAGTACCTACTCTGAGGCAGGGACTTGTTTAGCCCCTGTAAAAGTTCCGAAACTCCTCCTGGTTCCTGCAGGGGAGACACGCACCAACAGCCCCAGCTCTGTAAAATTACCCTGAAGTTCCTGCAGTGGAAACGGGCCTTTTTACAGGAGCTAAACAAGTCCCTGCCTCGAAGCAGGTACTCAGTGGAGACACGGCGGTTGAAAGAGCCGAGCGAGAGGACGTTCCTGTAAAGTTCCTGCCCCCAAATAGTACCAGGAACTTCTTCAGTGGAAATGGGTCTAAAGTTCTGGAACTCTGTCCTTCGAGGGTGGTTCCTGGGGTGGAGACACGCACCAATGGCCCCGGCCCCGTAAAATTACCCCTAAGTTCCTGCGGTGGAAACGGGCCTCTTGTTGTGCTGCATTTCTTGTATGAACATTGCTATGTAAAGAAAGTCTGTCATTATTACTATTATTATTATCATTTCTGAGGATGCATAGTATACATCAGGGGTGTCAAACTCATTTTAGTTCATGGGCCACATGCTGCCCAATTTGATCTCAGATGGGCCGGACCGATAAAACCATCGCACCATAACCTATAAGAGCCATCAGCTCCAATATTTGCCTTTTTCTGTGTGAGGAATTGCAAGTACAGTCTGAGGACATCCATCCTTTCACAAAACAGATGAGCAGCCTGAGATGTCTTAAGAAAAATAAGTGCAATTTTCAACAATCTATCAGTCATTCTACTTCTCACTGTCATTACATGTGCATTTATCCAGACATCTCCTGATAAAGATTCTTTTGAAGTGAAGCTGCTGATTGACAATATTCTGCACAATATATACAGTGCCCTCCAAAAGTATTGGAACAGTGAGGCCAATTCCTTTATTTTTGTTGTAGACTGAAAATATTTGGGTTTGACATCAAAAGATGAATATGAGACAAGAGATCAACATTTCATCTTTTATTTCCAGGTATTTACATCTGGATCTGATACACAACTTAGAAGATAGCACCTTTTTTTTGAACCCACCCATTTTTCATGAGAGCAAAAGTATTGGAACATGTGACTGACAGGTGTGTTTTGTTGCCCAGGTGTCTCACAATTACATTGATTATTCAAACAATAAATAGCACTGAATGTCTGAGCTCAGTTTCAGATTGGGTACGATAGGTTTTGCCTGTGCAGACTGCATTTAGAGGTGGAACCAACATGAAAACTGAGAGCTGTCTATGGGTGAAAAAGAAGCAATTGTGAATCTGAGAGAAGATGGACAATCAATCAGAGCCATTGCACAAACATTGGCCATAGCCAGTACAACCATTTGGAATGTCCTGAAGAAGAAAGAAACCACTGGTGTACTAAGCAACAGACGTCGAACAGGTAGACCAAGGAAAACATCAGCAGTTGATGACAGAAACATTGTGAGAGCTGTCAAGAAAGACCCTAAAACAACTGTTAGTGACATCAGCAACAACCTCCAGAGGGCAGGAGTGAAGGTATCACAATCTACTGTTCGCAGAAGACTTCATGAACAAAAGTACAGAGGCTACACCAGAAGATGCAAACCACTCATTAGCAAGAAGAATAGGAAGGCCAGGCTGGAATTTGCCAAAAGGTACAGAGATAAGCCTCAAAAATTCTGGGAAAAAGTTTTATGGACTGATGAGACAAAGATTAACTTTTTCCAAAGAGATGGAAAGGCGAAAGTTTGGAGAAAGAAAGGATCTGCTCATGATCCCAAACATACAAGCTCATCTGTGAAACACGGTGGAGGTAATGTCATGGCTTGGACTTGCATGGCTTCTTCTGGGACGGGCTCTTTCATCTTCATTGATGATGTAACACATGATGGCAGCAGCAAAATGAACTCAGAAGTCTACAGAAACATTTTGTCTGCTAATTTAAAGAAAGATGCAACCAAACTGATTGGGAGGTCCTTCATCATGCAGCAAGATAACGACCCAAAACACACTGCCAAAACAACAAAGGAGTTCATCAGGGGCAAGAAGTGGAAGGTTTTAGACTGGCCAAGTCAGTCTCCAGACTTAAACCCAATAGAGCATGCATTTTACCTGCTGAAGAGGAGACTGAAGGGAGTAACCCCCCAAAACAAACAACAGCTGAAAGAGGCTGCGGTGAAAGCCTGGAAAAGCATCACAAAAGAAGAATGCAAAAGTTTGGTGATGTCAATGGGTCACAGGCTTGATGCAGTTATTGAAAGCAAAGGATTTGCAACTAAATATTAAGTCTCATTCACTTTAATCTATTTTAAGTTTATATGTTCCAATACTTTTGCTCACCTAAAAATTTTGTGTTCCATTACAAATAATGCTATCTTCTAAGTTGTGTATCAGATCCAGATGTAAATACCTGGAAATAAAAGCTGAAATGTTGATCTCTTGTCTCATATTCATCTTTTGATGTCAAACCCAAATGTTTTCAGTCTACAACAAAAGTAAACGAATTGGACTCAC